CTTGCCTCCTGCAGTAATAGCATAACTGCTGCTAGAATTTTTAAACACTGGGGGCCAGCCTTGTGAAGAAATGTCCAGGTGTTTTGACAGATAAGCGACAGGGCGGTTCCAACTTCCCTGTTTTTGGGTAAGGACCCCTAGAGCTACATTTTGTCTTACATCCACATAAAGTGAAAAAGGCTTAGATATATCAGGTAGTCCTAGGGCAGCGGCTGTGGTGAGAGCCTGTTGCAATTGTCTCATTGCTTGGGTTTGTTCCTCTTGCCACAAAAGAGGTTCTTTTTCTGGTCCCCTTAAAGCTTGGTACAATGGTTTAGCTGTGAGAGCGAAGTTAGGAATCCAAATTCTACAGAAGCCTGTAATTCCCAAAAAGGCTCTAACTTCCTGTTTTGTTTGTGGGATGGGAATCTGTAACACAGCTTGCTTTCTCTGGGGGCCCAAAGTTCTTTGTCCTTGTGAAAGTTCATAGCCTAAATACATTACAGTCTCTTGAACTAATTGTGCTTTCTTTTTGGATGCTCTATAACCACAGTCTTGTAACAATTGGAGCAGTCTGGATGTGTTTTCAAAGCAATCCTCCCTGCTTTGGCCAGTTACTAAGACATCATCGACATATTGAAGGCAACAATCCTCTTGTCTGAATAACTTCAGATAAGCAAGATCTTGGGCTAGGGCTTGACTAAAGCACGTTGGCGAATTTTTAAATATACGGCTACCACAAGGATTTGATTGCTTGCCAATAGATTTATTTAGGACAGATCTGGTGGCTCCCGTGTCAACTAGCATCGGGACAACCTGTCCTCCCACCCTTATTTTAACAATGGGCTCTGGGGGTGGGCGATAGAACCCTGTCCTCTTCAGTCTTCCCATTCCAGTTCAGCTAAGCCGATCATGTTTTCTTCTCTGTCCTCTGTCTGATTGGGATAAACTGGATGCTCTCTTCCTTTGAAGCTCTTTCTGAAGCCTCTCTGGAAAGTCCCTCTAAATCCTCTTCCTCTTCCATACTGGCGAGATTGTCCCCTGGGTTGGCCATTCCTCTGGGGCACTCCCTTTGCCAGTGTCCTTCTTGTTTACAGATGGCACACTGATTGGGTCCTAGGCATGTTCCTCCCAATGCCACGGCTAACATTTCAACTTTCTTTTTTTTCTTTTTGATCTGATTTGCGTTCCTCCTCCCTGTCACGGTTACGGAACATATTGAAGCATTGAAATATTAGTGTTATCTGGTCCAGGAACCAACACCTCTCTTAGAGGGGCAATATTTTCTTCTGTTTTTATTTCTAACTTGCTCCTGGTGCGGCTAGAAACTGAGGTTTCACTTTCATTTTCAAAGTTATTCAAGCTTTTATCTGTTTCTTGAAGGGATCCAGCTGTTGCTAATTTTCCTTCCTCACCAGCTTCTGGCTGAAATTGGGCTTCTCTTTCAGGCAGAGGGAGTGGAATTTGCTGATTTATTCTCCCTTCTTCTCTTCTAGGAACGTAGGGGGTGGTCTGGCAATTTCCTCCCTATCTTCCTGGCTGAAAATCTTAGCTTTTGTTTGAGGCTTGGCTTTTTGGCTTGCCAAATATATCTTTGCACACTCTATCTGACATTTTGCTAACCATCTCTGTTTTTCTGCAATGTTGATTTTCCATAGAGGTAATAACCATTTCCAGTCACAATTTGATGAACCCGTGCAACGAGTTCGGGATTCGCCGATCCCATTTTTGGCCACCCTACGCCCAGGGCAGTCCACTCAGATTCACAGAATCTTTTTAACATGGCTGGATTTGGTTTTGGATCTCCATAATCCCTAGAAAAACCCTTTTTGAAATTCTTTAACATGCACTGGAGTGGCGTCTGGTCAACGCTCTCCTTTGACTTTTTCCCACCCATTTCTCTAATACACTACCATTGATCACTCAGCATGAGCTACAATGGTTTAACCTCCCACACAATCCTGCCTATTGAAGGCTTAAGGACGCCACCTTTGCCTTCTAGGGGGTGATCAGTCCCCTCTTCCGATCCAAAAGGGATCAGGTTTCCCCTGTTTTACAATACTTGCCTGCAGGCGTTTTTCCAGACTCCTTTGTTGATTTAAGATCTGTCTGTCACCCTCACGGATCCTTAGACAGGAATGCTTCGCTGATGGGTTAATTCCCTTTCCTCCCGTCGAATTCTCCTCGTAGTCAAGAGCTACGGAGCCGGCTTTGGAGCTGTCGTCGTTTAGGAGAGGGGGGGGGCCCACCAGGGCAATCCGTCTTGGAAGGTTAAATCCTTTTTCTTAAAAGCCCTTAAAAATGTCCCGGCGGAGAAGTCGCCATAAATCTTGTGGAAAAATAAAGCCTTAAAAAAATAAAGGGCTTTTACAAAATTCCATGGGTGAAAGAGAGATCTTTATTTTTGCGCAAAAAGGTTCAGAAGTGACTTAACAATCAACAAATTTCTGAACAAGGGGGAGGGTCTAAACTAAAGCTTTATAGGTTTCTTTTTCTCAGGAACAAAGGAAGCATAGATGGAATCTTACATTGTATATGGAATCTACTTTGTGTAACATTCAGATAGTTTCTCACACGTTAGGTCCATTTCTCATGGGAATACAATGAAGGCAGTTTTTACTTTTATACAATGTTTCTAAATATGCATTAGGTCATTCACGTACTGTTAATACAGCTTTTGGCTAACACAGCTTTCTTTCAGAGATTATGCAGACACATGATTTTTGCTTTTAGTGATTTTTCATTATTATTATTATTTTACTTTATTCTTCTTTATTCTATGTTATTCTATTTCTTTCCCACTTTAGTAGGATTTCATGATAAAGTACATATAAGGGAATAGGTGAAGCAAAACAGTAAGGGGCAGTGATAATGTATTTTGTTTAGGCGATTCTGATAAGATTATAACCTCAGAAGAGGGGCCAAGGCGTCAGGATAGAATGTATATAATGTGTGTTTTCGCTGTGACTAGGTGTGGCTCAAATGTTCATTTGGAGTCCACCACGCTTTGCAAACCGTTGTAACCAATAAATCTCTGTCTAATTTCAACTTGCTGTTTGGTGTTATTCAGTGGGCTAGAATTTCTATCAACAGTTTTGGCGCCCAACGTGGGGCTCAAGACTGGGATCATTTGTCTGCACCAGATCCAGAAGGTGACGTGGAAGGCATGCCCTGTCGATTTTGACAGTCTATCTCATCTTGTTGGTAAAAGAGCAGCAACGCTTTCCTCGGCGAACCCATAGAGTTGATATTAGACAGAGATACGAATTGAACCAGTGTGTGTGTTGCTGGCTTCTGGGAACTGGGCAACTCCGTGCACAGACCTAGGTAAGTGTTCTGGGGTGGCCAGTATACACTGCCTAGGCAGTTGGTGGGAAGACTTGGGTAGGCCTGTGTGAATTTGAGACAGTGTGTGTGTGACATCCCAAGTATCCGCTTAGCAAAAGTGGACCTCTGATATGCGAGTGTATATCTAGGGGGATCAGGGGGAAGTGAATTAAGGAATTTACGTGAAGTCTCAATTAGAATACACAGGACGGTAAACCAGTATGAGCAACACAGGGAGTACTCCAGGAACCCCAAATTAAATATAGATAAAGTCCATTAGGGATTTTGTTGAGTAATTGCAGGAAACCTCCGTATAATGAAATAATTAGTAATCTAGCCATAACCAAGGAAGATATGGTTAATTTGTGTTGTTTTGTCTGGTGGGAAGATGAAAAAGTAGAGTGGCATAGATTAGGAACAAATGACTATTTTACTTGTCAGAATTTGTATGAGTATGTGTCAAGGAAAACATGTAAATCATTAGTCAATGAGTTAGACTATGCTTTAATTTGGAACCCAGGTAAATGGGTCACCTTGACTATGAGTGGCCCTAGCCCTAGCCCTTATAACCTCAATATATTTACAAGAAGAAGAGAAGAATGAAATAGAGGAAGAAGAAGATGATGAAAAATCCATGAAATATTTACCCCCACTTTATAATCCTAATCCACCTCAACCAACAAATGTACAGATATCTATTCCACCACCCCCCAGCTCCTGTAACACAAGCCCAGGGAGCTGTGAGAGGTGGACCCTATAAGGTATTAGTAAAAGAATTGGAACAATTAAAGAAAGATATAAATAATTTTCCCTTTATGGATAAACCACTACAGGCTTTTCCTTTAAGAGAGGTACCCAATGGAGTAGATGGCCAAGGACAGGCGCGTATCAGTTTTGTATATGAGCCTTTAAAGGCATCTGAATTACGCGCCTTTAAGAAAGAAATGAAAAGCATGATAGAAGATCCAATAGGGGTAGCAGAGCAACTGGATCTGTTGTTAGGAGCCAAGATATACACATGGGATGAATTAGGAGTGATACAGAGCATATTATTTACAGCAGAAGAAGGACAGTTAATTCAAAGAGCAGCTCATTTGGTCTGGACTAGGGAATATAATCCCCAAGCACAGGGGCAAGTTTTGGCAGATGTAAAGTTTCCTGTAGTAAGACCAAATTGGGATAATAATAATGCTACAGATAGACAAAACTTGGAAGATATGAGAGTATTATTGATAAGAGGAATAAAAGAAGCTGTTCCAAAAGCACAGAATATGAGTAAAGCTTTAATGATAGAACAAGAAAAAGAAGAATCTCCAGCTACATTCCTCCAAAGACTGAAAGACGGAATTTTTTATTTAAAAATAAAAGGTTGGCATGAAAAAAGCATGAAAATGAAATATCTGTATGTGAAATTCAAACATACAGATCATAATTATAATGGCACAGGCCCATTGTTTTATTATTAAATTCATCTCTCAAGGGTGATAGGAGTGTGAAACATAAAAAACCCTTCTTTTCAGAGTTCTGTTTGTGTAAATAGGAAATCCATAGACTGAGACCACTAAATCAATAATTAGCATTCATTCTCACCCAAATTTGTCTTTGTTTTGGGGACTGACTTTTCACATCTATGAATCATATTATGGGAAATAAGAGTATGGTATTGGCTGAAGCACTTTCCACACCTCGTGCATTTATATGGCCTCTCTCCTGTGTGGATTCTTTTATGGGAAGTAAGATTGCTATGTTGGGTGAAGCCCTTTCCACACTCCATGCATTTATATGGCTTCTCTCCTGTGTGGATCCTTTGATGGCGTGTAAGATTACTGTGGTTGTTGAAGCCCTTTCCACACTCCATGCATTTATATGGCTTCTCCCCTGTGTGTATTCTTTTATGGGATGTAAGATCTCTGGGTGCTGTGAAGCCCTTTCCACATTCCATGCATTTATATGGCTTTTCCCCTATGTGAACCCTTTTATGCGATGTAAGATCTCTATGTGCTCTAAAGCCCTTTCCACACTCCATGCATTTATATGGCTTCTCTCCTGTGTGGATCCTTTTATGGGAAGTAAGATGACAATGTTGGGTGAAGCCCTTTCCACACTCCATACATTTATAGGGCTTCTCTCCTGTGTGGATCCTTTGATGAGACATAAGATTATTATATTTGCTGAAGCCCTTTCCACATTCCATGCATTTATATGGCATTTCCCCTGTGTGGACCCTTTTATGTGATGTAAGATCTCCATGTGCTCTAAAGCCCTTTCCACACTCCATGCATTTATATGGCTTCTCTCCTATGTGGATCCTTTTATGGGATACTAGATTACCATGTTGGGTAAAGCCCTTTCCACACTGCATGCATTTATAGGGCTTCTCCCCTGTGTGAATCCTTTGATGGCGTGTAAGATGACTATGTTTGCTGAAGCTCTTTCCACATTCTATGCATTTATATGGCTTTTCCCCTGTGTGGACCATTTTATGCGATGTAAGATGTCCATGTGCTCTAAAGCCCTTTCCACACTCCATGCATTTATATGGCTTCTCCCCTGTGTGGACCCTTTTATGTGATGTAAGATGTCCATGTGCTCTAAAGCCCTTTCCACACACCATGCATTTATATGGCTTCTCTCCTGTGTGGATTCTTTTATGGGAAATAAGATGACAATGTTGGGTGAAGCCCTTTCCACATTCCATGCATTTATATGGCTTCTCTCCTGTGTGGATTCTTTTATGGGAAATAAGATGACAATGTTGGGTAAAGCCCTTTCCACACTCCACACATTTATAATGCTTCTCTCCTGTGTGGATCCATTGATGGGAAATAAGATGACTATGATTGCTGAAGCCCTTTCCACACTCCATGCATTTATATGGCTTCTCCTCTGTATGGATCCTTTTATGGGATGTAAGTTCACTGTTTGTTCTGAAATCCTTTGCACACTCCATGCATGTATATGGCTTCTCTCCTGTGTGGATCATTTGATGGGATGTAAGATGACTTAGTTTGCTAAAGCCCTTTCCACACTCCTTGCATTTATATAGCTTCTCCTTTGTGCTTTCCCTTTTATATACAGTCTTGTTTCCATCCTCAGTGCATTTATTTGGCTTCTCTGCCATGTGAACACTTTTCTGTGATATAAGAGATCCATTTTCTTGAGAAAATGTGAAAGTCCAATTGTAATTTTTTTCTTTGTCTTTGGATGTATAATCTTTGACTTGGGATAGATAGCGCTCATTTACATCTATGGTGTCTTTGAATAGTCTTACACCTTTCCCAATGTATTTTTTGTTTATTTTTTCTCGTTGATCAATAAAGTCCTGCATCTGAGTATCAATGGAAGATGAGCTTTCCTTATTTCGATTATTTGAAGTGTTTCTTTTCTGCCTTTGGAATCCTGTTTGAATTGCAGGCTTCTCCATTACATCTCTTTGTTTGAACACTTTGATTAATTCTCCAGCAACTTTATCGTCATTTTCATTATCACCTTCAAAGAAAAAGAGAAATAAAAGTGATAGAAAGGTTACGGGAAAAGATCACCTTGTCAGAAGTCATATTACAGATAATCCCTGAGTTACGAATCTTTCCTTAGTGAATGTTCGAATTTACCCGATAATCACCCAGTAGTGTTTACAAAAAAGTCCTGAAATTATTAATGTTGCCACATTACGGCAGTCATTCACCCTTACGAACGACGACAGTAGCACCGCAACATTCACCCTAGCTATGTCCTTCCTCCCCCCACCCCAATCTCCCTAGACATTAGGCCTGTGGGTACTCAACTTTGCTTTCTTGGCTGTTCTAGGCCTTTGGTGCGTTTGCAGAGAATGGAAGCCTAAAGTAACGCAAGGTCACGTGAGATCAGTGATGCGAGATCTCACAGTATTGATTTCGAGTGATCTCACGGTAGTTTAGGCCTCTTTCTCTGCTACAGAAAATGCGACGGAAGTTGGGGGAGGCTTCTGATTTCCTCTGGAGGCCCAATCCGGGCATCGGAGGCCTTTTCCAGCCCGCTGCTGCCCAGAAAGAATGCTTCTGTGGGCCTTCACAAGCCCGATCTACACAAGCCCTTGGCAGAACAGAAGCCAAGGCTGGCGGCGGTTTGGCTCCAGAGTTGGGGGGGGGGAGCAGGAGATAGGCACCAAAAGCACCGTGAGAATTCAGGCACCCATTCTCTGCAAAAGAGGATGGATGCCTGAACTCGCACGATATTACAACACACAGGAGCTTCCATTGACTCTCCTCTCCCTGAAAAGCAGGAATCCGGCAGAGAGGAGTCAGTCCGGCGCGGCAGAAATGGAGGGGGAAGCGTGAGGTATCTTTGTGAATTGTGGAGGCCTTGGTGGCCTGTTCCATCACTAGGCCCTCCATGGCCTTCCACACCCTGAGATACCTCATGTGCAATTAATGAACCGCGTAATTTGCCCATGCATTCAATTAGCAAATATGTGGGTGAAAGCAGGGAGTGATCTTGTTTGAGGCACAAGATTCACTCACATGAATTTTTGAGTTATGAATGAAATGGGTAGGCTCCATTATATTCGTAACTCGAGGACTACCTGTAATTGCCTTCAGGTATTTTGCCAGATTCCAAAATACTGCATATTTGTATAACTATAATGGTTTGGTTTAGAAATGATATATCACTGTTCATGAGGCATAAAAACTTGTAAAAGGCATTAAGTCAAAAACCGTGAAAGGCAATTCTTGATAGGACTGATACAGAAGCATCTGGGCCAAAATAGTTGAAAACTGTTTGATGAAGTTTGGCATTACCACAAATCAAGGAATTACTTTGTCACTAATGTGTTAAAACAGAAATAGAAAAACAAATGGGATAGAATACATCTAAGCAGAATCCCATTGGCCTATTTCCTTCCTGGGAGCAGTAGAACAGCATGACTTTCCTTCTCCCTCTGAGGAGAGGATATCTATTGGAGATGATTTCATAAGAAGTAATCCGTGGCATCTAACTACAAAGTCTCTTCCTGAACTATCTGACTTCAGAATAGGAAACCCTTACCAAGAGAGGCCACGTTCCTATAATTGTCCAGCATGACTTCCCAATGCAGCGCTTTTTGGCGAGGAGCCAGCAGAGACCACTCCTCCTCTGAGAAATACACAGCCACCTCCTCAAAGGGCAGAAGACCCTCCTGAAAGGCAAAAAAGTACAGAACAGATTGAGGAGGGACTATAGGATCTTTCCTATTGTTTGGAAAATCCCAAAGCAAAGCTAGGCACTAAGGCAGCGGTTCTCAACCTGTTGGTCACGACCCCTTTGGGGGTCGAACGACCGTTTCACAGGGGTCGCCTAAGACCAGGGCTTTTTTTCTCATAGAACGCTCAGAACGAAGTTCCAGCACCTTTTTTTGATGGATTTTTTTCAACTTTTCCATGAGCTGTGCTACTCCCTCTATTCTATTGGCTTTTGAAAGCCAACAGAATAGAGTCTATTGAATAGACTCTTAATCTATTGAATAGATTAAGAGTCTATTCAATAGACTCTATTCTATTGGCTTTCAAAAGCCAATAGGAATTGTCCAGACCTGGTCGTTAATGGCTGTCTCTGCACTGCTGAGCGCGCCAAAAGACCCAGCCCGCAAACGTTGCACATGGAAGTTGTCTGCAGCAAAGGCAAGTTTATGGTGAGAGAACCCCTCTCTGCTGAGCAACTATGCCATCTCCTACTTGTAAGTAAAAGAGGACCAGGGGTGGGAGGTGGGGAGCAGCACTTAATTCTGCCCTGCCGAAAAAGCAGAGTCCATATGCACTCCTGCCTCGTGCTCACCCGTGTCAGCCAGGCTCTCATGTCGCTCTGCAGCATGGAGAGCCTGGCACTGAAGCACAGAAAACATGTGCTCGCCTGCCTCAAGTTCACCTCGTGCGCCATCGGTGTGCATTGCGGCTGCTGCTGTGGGAGCCGTGGGGCCCGATTGACAAGCGGGGCTGCACGGGAAAGGTGGCGGCGGAGGTGGTGCTGGCAGGGCAGCGGCGGGCACTGGGTGCGAAGGTGGCGCATGTAGGGGCGGCTCGTGGCCTAGCCAGTGCTGGACCTACACCGCCGCTGCCTCACCCTGTGTGCCTACATGGCCGCCCTGGAGCGCCTGGCCCACAATGCTTGCCGCCGCCTTGGCCTGCCCGCAGCCCGTGCCCTCCCGCCGCCCTGCACTGGCATCTGGCTCGGCAACTGCAAGCTCTGCACCATCAGTTTGGTGTGCGGCTGGTGCTATGGGAGCTGCGGGGCCGGCTCTACACAGAGGGGCTGCGTGGAGTGGGTGGCGGGGCTGGCAGAGCAGCTGCAGGCAGGGGTATGGGGGCGGGGGCGGTTGCCCACTACTGATGCCCCCCATGCCTCACACATCATATTCTTAGGAACCTGTCTCACTTTCAACTCCCCCTAAAATTCTTCATTGAGGCAAGCTTCCAGAGTTCAGCCAGCAGGATGCAGATAACCCCTACCCCCTGTCCTGCCGCCTCCCATGGCACTGCACCGCTCTGCGTCCCACACCTCAAGCCTCCGTGGCACAGAACCGCTGGCGTCCCCAATGGCCGCTGATGCGCTCCCCGCCGCCGGCGACCATGCAAGCCCTGGCAATTGCTCCAGCTGAAGAAGTGGGTGGCTGGGAGGCCGCCGCGGCGCTGATCTTCTGCGCCCGTCAACTGGCGACCCCCTGAATGTGCACTTGTCAGCTGGGAGGTCTGGCGACAGAGCCGGCCGGCATGGAGGGCGATGGGGAGATGGCAGCTCGGCGGGCAGGTTTCCACCTGCCTGTGAATGTTGGGCCCACGGGGCTCGACACAAAGTCAACGGTCCAATATAACTTCCCTCCTCGAATGAGAAAGAAGGAATCTCTCCCGCCTGTGTCCCTTCCCCCCCTCAAGCGACAACAGAAGGTTGCAGACAACTAAGTCAGCCGGTGCAGGAAGCCCTGGAATGGCCAGTCCAGGGCGCCTGGTTGCAGTGCTGGATGTCTTTTGCTCCTAGAAGTCGGTGGCAAGAGAAAGAAGTCGTTCAAACTTCAAGCTAGCTACTGGACGCCTATTTGCACTTTTTTTCTTTTTTCTTTTTTTTTTTTGAGTACTTGTCTGCCAACCCACCCCATCTGTAAAAGAAAAAGTCCACCCAAGCATAACTTTTAAGGATTTTAAGGATCTTTGACAGGAAGAGAGGGAGAGAGAAATAGAGAGAGGGAGAGAGAGGAAGAGAGAGAAAGAGAGAGTGGCAGGGAGAGAGAGAAAGAAAGGGAGACAGAGGGAGAGAAAGAGAGGGAGAGAGAGAGAGGGAGAGAGAGAGAAAGAAAGGGAGAAAGAGGGAGAGAAAGAGCGGGAGGGAGAGAGAGAAAGAAAGGGAGAGAGAAAGAGGGAGAGAGAAAAATAGAGGGGGAGAGAGAGAGGGAGAGGGAGGGAGAGAGAGGGAGAGAAAAAGGGAGAAAGAGAGGGAGAGAGAAATGGAGAAAGAGAGAGAGAGAAAGAGGGAGAGAGAAAGAAAGAAAGAAAGAAAGGGAGGGAGAAAAAGAGGGACAGAAAGAGGGGGACAGAGAAAGGGAGGGGGGAGAGAAAAAGAAAGAGGGAGAGAGGGAGAGAGAAATAGGGGGAGAGAGGGAGAAAGAAGGGGAGACAGAGAGAGAGGGAGAGAGAAAGAAAGACAGAGAGAGAGATTAAATTAGTAACATGGTTGTTGTTGTTGTTTTTAAACAAATTTTATTGGTTTTTTAATTTCTTAGAACAACATATTCAGGACACACTGTGGTGCTAGGGTAATCAAACATCCCAAAACAGAACATATATACTTAATACAATCAATACATCACATATTCCCTCTTTTTCCCTCAAACAGCATAGTATATTTAAAATATCCAATTCTAGCTTAAGTTTATTCAACCTGGACCTATTTTTAAGCTTCATTAATTTACAATACCATAATCAAATTAACTTTAAATAAGTAAGAACATTTTCAATTCAAATATCCCTTCCACGTATGTTCTACTTTCCTAATTTTATCAAGATCTTATTTACTTCTTCTTCCATTAATCTCCCTTATTTGGAATAAAATGTTAATCCATTCTGTACCTATCAAATCCATCAATTAATCCATCTTTTCAAGCTAGAAAGATAATATCATACCTTAAATCATGTCATTCCATTAAACAGAATTCAGGTCTTCAGTTAATTATCATAATTTTCATAGAAATAAACCTTACATTCTAAAAGGAGCATTCTTAATATTCTAAATTGTCTTTAATCCATTATATAAAAATATCTCATTTTTAAGCAAAAATATTAATCCTAAACACATCTAAATGTATGTATTTATCAATCTATTCTATACATATCTAATCCTTCAATTAATCAATCTCTTTGAGCTAACAAATTAATATCAAACCTTCAATCATTTCAATCCATTAAAAAGAGTTTAAATTTCAACCAGTTAGTTATCATAGCTAAACATTCATGTTATAGAATAAACAAATCATCTTATTTAATTAACATTCAATTAGTTATTAATTCACTCCAACTCTAAAACATCTTTTTACTTCAAACTCATAATCTCAGTCCTTATATCAGTCCATAGTTCTAGGTTGCCTTTAATCTAATTTAAGAAATTTTAATTTTAATTTTTTAGTCTTATTCTAGCTTTCCTCTTTTGCCAGGTAGGTTTCCATAACAAGGCTTCCCTTCCAGATGATGGGTCTCTTTTTGTTGTTTGTAGTGTCAATTGATTCGATGCAGGCCATCTTGATCTGTGATTTGGTCCTCTATTTCTCTTGTCCACAGGGCCTCGTTGTTTCAAAAGTTCAAAATTCAGTCTTTGCTTTTCCTGATCTTGCTTGTGGGGAAAGGTAAAATTCTCTTTATCCTCAGTTAAGTCCTCTTCTTGTATAATCTGTTTTGTGGAGTAGTCCAGTACAATCTGAGAGTCAGTTTTGAGTTTTAAAGTAGAGATTCTGGCTCTTAGTTCTATAGTAGCCTCTTTTATTGTAGTACATATTTTTTCTTTGGCCTCATAGATCTTTTCCAGTATACGTTTACAGTTTAGGTATGATTGAGGCTTCTCCATTTTAGCAATAGTTGAAGAAAAATCCTTTTCCTTTTAAGTGAAAGTTGGAATTGAACATTATCCAGCCCCACAGATCACACGGCTAGCTCAAATTATCTTTTCTCTTGAAAAACAGTTTCAAGGCCAAACCCATCTCATCTGTGAATTGAGCACAATCCAATATTAATTTTTGACCAGTAGGTCTCCTCAGTGAGCTAAAAAGACTTCTTCAGATGCCGTTTTTTTCCTTTTTTCTATTTTTTAAAGGAAGAATAGAAAAAGAAATACTCTGCCGATCTAATACCGCTCCAAAAAACATGAAAAACAGTTCTTTCTATAGCTCAGTGGTTCTCAACCTTTCTAATGCCGTGACCCCATAATATAGTTTCCCATGTTGTGGTGACCCCCAACCACTTATACATCACCGGGTGCCAGGGGCGTGGTCAAAGAAAAGGGGAAAAAATGGCGGACAGCCTTGTTTGGCGACCCCTGTGAAATGGTCGTTCGACCCCAAATGGGGTCCCGACCCACAGGTTGAGAACCACTGCTATAGCTCAATGTAAGTAGAGATAGAATATAGTCTTTAAATGAATATCTTTCTGTCCTTTTATAAAGTGCGTTTGTTCCCACGATTACCAAAGCCGCTCTCTCCAGATGGGGACATGCACATGTAAATGTTGTTCGTCCATCGATTTCGATGAAGACCTTGACATCTTGTGGGTTATGGGCCATCAACGATGTGTCCGTAGGTGGCTAATAAGACCGATGTTAGCACGGAATGTTCTGCCACATACTGAACAAAGAAATGTAGACACTGTTACTTCAGCATTTGCAGCTCTGGCTTTGCAGAGTGCTCGCTTTTCTTGTGCCAAGATTGTCCTTCTGTGTTCATATGTCTGGCAACCCTGGTACACCAAGGTGCGCCATGTTGGTCGATCATGCGCCAGAAGTTCCCAAGAGATGGTGTTAATATCCAGGGACTTAAGAGAGGCTTTCAACGTTTCTTTGTATCGCTTCTTTTGTCCCCCGTGCAATCACTTTCCTTGAGACAGCTCACCATAGAAGAGCTGTTTAGGGATGCGATGATCTGACATCCTTACAACATGGCCTGCCCAGCGCATCTAGGCTTTCATCAACAGAGTGTAAACTGATGATAGGCCTGCTCTGGAGAGGACATCTGTGTCTGGTATCTTATCCTGCCACCGGATCCTCAGAATTCTACGAAGGCAAGTCATGTGGAAGTAGTTCAGTTGCCTAACGTGCCTCCTGTACACTGCCCACGTCTCACTAGCATACAATAGGGTAGTTAGCACTGCTGCCTGGTAAACTTTAAGCTTGGTAGCAAGACTTATTCCATGGTGGTCCCACACGTTAGTCCGCAATCTGCCAAATGCAGAACTTGCCTTGGCAATTCTACAGTTGACCTCGATGTCAATTGTCACTGCACAGGAGAGGGTACTACCAAGATATGTAAATTGGTCCACTGCTTGCAGCTTTTGTCCCTTTACTGTGATGGTAGGCTCTTGATATTGGGCTTTTGGAGTTGGCTGGTACATCACTTCAGTTTTCTTTCTGTTGATGAAGAGGCCAAAGTTGTCACAAGTGGCTGCGAATTTGTCCATGCTGGCTTGCATTTCCTGCTCCGATCCTGCATTAAGGGCACAGTCATCAGCAAAGAGGAGATCTCGTAGCACAGTCTCCTTTACCTTGGTGACAGCCTGAAGTCTTTGCAGGTTGAACAGTTTCCCATCAGTTCTGTACCTCAGATTAACTCCCACTGAGCTGTTCTGAAAGGCATCTGACAGCATGGCTGAGAACATCATGCTGAACAGGGTTGGTGCCAGCACGCAGCCTTGCTTAACGCCATTAGTAACAGGGAAGGCCTCTGAGATTCCACCGTTACTCAGAACACGAGCAGCCATGCCATCATGGAACTGTCGTACCATCAGAATAAACCTGTCAGGGCACCCAAACTTCGACATAATGCGCCATAGTCCTTCACGACTAACTGTGTCAAAAGAAATAGTAGGGAAATAGTAGCACAAACAGCTTCTACAGGCAAAAACAGCAGAGGTGTGGAGAGGAACAAAAGGGGTTTCACCCGGATCATCCGTGGTGGGTCATTAGCACTTAGATGACAATGTGACTTTCGGCTGGTGCAGCAGGGTGATCGGCCATCTTGCAGGGCGATCTTTGCTCCGTCGGCCCTAAGGAGATAGCTGGAGATTCGGGGGAAGTTGCCGCCCTCCCCTATCTACCAGCAAGCCTCCTCCTCGGTGGTCACCCCTCCAGGGCGACTTTCGACCCCCTAGGGGGTCTGCTGGCGAAGGAAACTCCGGACGGCTCGGAGACACAACCGGCACAACCGGCATCACGCGTTCCGAAACCGGAAGTCCCAGTAACATGGTTGTTAAGTGAATCTGGTTTCCCCCATTAACGTTGCTTGTCAGAAGGTTGCAAAAAAAGGCGATCACATGACCCTGGAACAATGTGACCATCATAAATATGAATCAGTTGCCAAGCATCAAAATTTTGATCACATTGTCACTGTTGGGGAGAATTTCAGCTGTAATGAATGTTCTACCAAAGTTTCTTTTTTTGTTTCAGATGATACCTATTTTAAAAAAAAGATGTAAATTTGGAGGAATGGCAGAAGGGTATCAATAAATTCATTTGGGCTGGGAAGAAAACAAGGGTTAAGTTTAAGATTTTGCAAGCTGCCCGAGAAAGAGGAGGACTTAAAGCACCTAATTTGAAATTATATTATGATGCAGCCACCTTAACTTGGATAAGTGATTGGCTTAGTTTAACAAATAAGGATATTCTTTTTCTTGAAGGGTAGGATTTAATGTATGGTTGGCATGCATATTTAATTTTTAACAAGAAAGTTGACCGGGCTTTCAAATCACATATTTTGAGGAATGCTTTACTTTGAGTTTGGAAAAAGTATTATCATAGGTTAAATTATAAAATACCTATCTGGGGGATTCCTGGACATGCAATTGAGGGAATTTCTAAGGGGATGAATTTTGACAAAATCTCGTATAAAGAATTATTAATTTGGTCAGGTTTGGACTGGCATTTAAAATCTTTAGATGTATTAAGGCAAGAAAATATTTTACAGTCATGGTTTCAATATTTGCAAATAGTGGATAGGTGGACTGTAGATAAGAAAGAGGGGATAACATTAGAAGATGAAAATTTGGTAATTCAGATTAAAGAGGTGGAATAGGATAATATAGATATGGTAATTTATGAGAGAGGTGCTGCTTGGGCACTTCCCCTATGCTGTATTCCTGTGTTTGAGAGGGATGAGAGGGGAGGAAGGTGCAGGGAGGAAGTAGGATGTAAGAGGAGAAGGGGGGGGGGAAGAGAGTAGGAGGGGAGGAAAGAAAGAGGAGGGAAGTAGGGAAGGTATTAGAGAGAGTGGATGCAGCCTGGGGGGAATGAGCAAGCGGCACCAATGGTTATGATTATGAATTTATCTTATTTTGTAAATTGAATTTTGTATATGTTGAATAAATGGAAAATAAAAACTTTTATTTAAAAAAAATGTAAATCACATGACCCTGGGGATGCTGCAATGGTCATAAGTGTGAAAAATGGTCATAAGTCACTTTTTTCAGTGCCGTTGTAACTTTGAACAGTCACTAAGCAAACTGTTGTAAGTCAAGGACTACCTGTACTTTATCACTTTTTTCCATTTTTTTTTTTTTGGTCATCAAGTTTTTGACACCTCACTATAAAGTGGAAAGAAATAGAATAACATAGAATAAAAATGAATAAGTATAACAATAATAATGATAATGAAAAAAAATCACTAAAAGCAAAATGATGTGTCTGCATAATTCCTGGAAGAAAGCTGTGTTAGCAATAGCTGTAATGACCTAATGCAAATTTAGAAACATTGTATAAGTAAAAACTGCCATCATTGTCTTCCCATAAGAAATGAACCTAACATGTGAGAAAGTAAATGAATATTATACAATGTAGATTCCATATACAATGTAAGATTCCATGAATACTCCCTTTGTTCCTTAGAAAGGGAGAGCTATAAAGATTGTAGTTTGGAACCTCCCCCTTGTTCAGAAATTTGTTGATTGTTAATCGCTTCTGAACCTTTGCGCAAATAAACCTCTCTGTTTAGTAATAGTAGTAAAGTTGGAAGGGACCTTGGAGGTCATCTAGTCCAACCCCCTGCTCAGGCAGGAAAGCCAATACCATTTCAGACAAATGGCTGTCCAGTCTCTTCTTAAAAACTTCCAGTGTTGGAGCATTTACTGCTTCTGGAGGCAGGCTGTTCCACTGATTAATTGTTCTCACTGTCAGGAAGTTTCTCCTTAGTTCTAGGTTGCTTCTCTCCTTGATTAGTTTCCACCAGTTGCTTCTTGTCCTGCCTTCAGGTGCTTTGGAAAATAGCTTAATTCCCTCTTCTTTCTGGCAGCCCCTGAGATATTGGAAAAGGTTTCATCCTTTGGAATTCGTAAAAGTCCTTTATTTTTTCAATTCCTTTTACTTTTTGCACAAGAGCCAGGTGACTGTGGTACTCGAATGCTGCCATATTCTAAAAGGGGCACAATCGGTGAAAAGGTTGAAAAGCCCTGCACTAATGGACCAATTATTTCGTAACAGTAGCAAAATTACAGTTATGAAGTAGCAACGGAAATAATTTTATGGTTGGGGGTCACCACAAGATGAGGAACTGTATTAAAGGGTCGCGGCATTAGGAAGGTTGAGAACCACTGCACTAAGGTAAATGGCTCTGTTTAGTAGGATTCCATAGTTTAGGTGAGAAAGTGGACAGATGCTCTCAATATCCAGAGACTCTGCCCCTCCTCAGATTGCAAGGAAACTACTAGTAGTCTGAGCCATTGACTCCACAGTAAATAAGAAAATGGAGAACATTTTCTGAGGAAAGCATTTCTTAGCCTTTGCAAAGCTGGATTGTTTGATCTCCAAATCCAGACACAAATCAGGGGATTAAAAGGTATTTTGCAAGCCAACAGGGCCTTGATTATGTGCTCTTTCAGAACAACTTTTATTTGGAGGCATTTCTATATGGCCACTGTCCTGAGATTTTAAAAATCTTTGTTCTTAATCACTTATTTTCTTATCAATGATTGTAAATGAAGCTTTTAAAAATGGTAATATCCCAGTGTGAATATTTAAATACTTTTGAGGATCCTTACACAAATGAAACTCAAAGAATTACAGAAAGAATGGGAGCCGTGAAAATATCTGTAAAACATTACTTACTGAAAAGTTGGGAGAATAATTAGCAAAAAGAGTTTTGTTTTTAAAGTACTAGTCTTAAAAAAAAAATCCTTAAAAAATCCCCAAACAAAAGCAGAGGGGACAATGGAAAAAGACAGTAGAGATAATTCTCAACTTTCAACAGTTTTAGTGACCGTTCAAAGTTACAACCCCACTGAAAAAAATGGCTTATGCCCAGTTTTCACATCTACGACTGTTGTAGCATCCCCATGGCCACATGATCAAAATTCGGATGCTTGGCAACTGACTCATATTTATGACGGTTCTGGGGTCCTGGATTTACTTTATGTGAACCTCTGACAAGTAAAGTCATTAGGGAAGCCAGATTCACTTAACAACCATGTTACTAATTTAACAACTGCAGTGATTGACTTAACACCTGTGGCAAGAAAGTCGGAAAATGGGGCAAAGTTCACTTAATAAATATGTCACTTAGGAACAAAAATTTAGGGCTCAATTCTGGTCGTAAGTCAAGGACTACCTATACTACTTACAGCTACTGATTTACTGAGCGAAAGGGAAAATACAAATCTAGTAAATTAATATTCTTCTGTTACCTGAGCTGGAGGTTCAATCACAGTTTGTGTTCCCCCAAAACAAAGCGTCAACTTCCTTCTATTCTTCTCTGTGAGGAAGACAGAATTTCAAAAAGCATAATTAATGAAATGGGAGGAGGTATGCTACTGAAAGAAAACACAGAAGATAAGAAAGTTAGGATTTATCAGAGGAGTGGAAGGACCTTATTATTACCTCTTGAAGTGTCCTGATTTGGATCTTCCTGAGAGATCCTCCTGAAAAACAGTTCTTCAGAGAGATTTGATGAATGCCTCATTCTCTCAGGATCTCTGATGTCCATTGTAAAGGACTTGAGATAGTATGCAGGAGAAAAGAAATAATGGTCATCACACATCATGAAGTGGTTTCTCACTGCAAAGCACTCAGTATCGATCAATTAGGCTGGGAAGTAAGAAAGAAATGGCTGTGCAAAACCTTTCTTCTAGAAAGGATAAGCAACTATACAAAGATTTGTGAAGCATCTCCACATAGTATGAATGCCACGGAACTCTGGTAAGGAGATATTAAGAATTTGAATATCTTGATCCAATGGCAAAGAATTTTGTGTATAATATAATGCCTTAACAACAGGAATATATTTGGATGAAAGCTTTAAAATTTATATTAAATTAGAATTTAAAGGATTTTTTAAATAAAATGATGTATCATTCTATTTAATGCGTGATAACTGGCCAAAGATGTATAAAGGAAATTCAAATACATTTCAAAATGTAAATGTAAACAAGAATCTTTTTATCATCTTTGCTGGACTTGTGACAAAGCAAAGAAATACTGGTGTAAGATTTATATTTTACTGCAGAAGATTCTCAAAGTGGGTATAAAAATAAAACCAGAGACTTTAATAGACAAAGAGATTGAAAAACAATCTCAAACTTTGCTGTTATATATGTTGAGAGCAGCAAGAATGCTTTATGTACAAATATGAAGAAGTCACTGGAAAAACTGATGGAACTAGTAGAGATGGCAAAATTAATGAAAGAAAACAACACATCCAACCTTGTTTCTATTTGGAAACTGCTTCAGGATTTTTTTTGGGGGGGGGAGGGGTAAAAAAATGAAATGTTGATTTTGTTGTTATAGAATGGCTAGTACATATTAAGGATGTAAAAGTAGAAGGCCGAGGCTATAATGTTCCCATTTTATTCGACTGCACTAAATAGAATCAGAAGTCAATCATTTTCCTTTTTTCCCCTTTCCCCTATACTTCTTCCTCTTCCCTTCCCCCTAGTTCCTACTATTTTCAATTTTTTTGTATTTTATATCTTGATAAGCTTAATAATATTTTTAAAAGGAAACAAAAATTTGAACATATTATTATATTCAACTCCTTCTGGACTCCAAGAGGAAGTGCTCTCACCTGCAACTCAACCTGCTCCTTCTGCTCCTCCGCCTGGCTCAGGAGGAAGCCTTCCACCAGGGCCACCGCCTGGGAGCTGGTCTCTGCTCCACACTCCCGCACCCAGCTCTCCATCTGCACTGGCAGAAGGGCCAGGAACTGCTCCAGAACAACCAGGTCCAGCATCTGCGCTTTTGTGTGCTTTTCTGGCCTCAACCATTGACTACAAAAGTAGTGGAGTCGGCTGCAAAGTCCTCGGGGACTCTCATCCTCCTGATACTGGATGCTCCTAAAGTTCCAGGACTGAACTTGTGAAACGATGGTTCCATCGTCCAGGATCTTCTGCCCAGATCTTGCCCAGATCTCCTCCCCGATTCCAGACTGAACACCAGAACGGCCTTTTCCAGTTCCCCCACTTGCTAAAGGAAGGCTTGCCATTCTTTCTCCGTCCTGTAACACAAATCCAAATGAGTTCAAGGAAACCAAATTCTTTTTCATTCATAGCAATGTTCATTTAGCCATGGGAATCAGAACAAGCCATTAACCCTCTTTGCCAAAGAGATAACGTTGTCTCTAAAGAACATGAACAAATGACCTCCTTTTGCAATTCTCTCATAGAAAGATAAATTCAAACAACTCGAAAGTAGTGGATTGGATCATTCATCGACACTCATCCCCATAGAAGGAAGTATTTTTCTGACCTGATAAACTGATGACTTCAATAAGAAGATTCAGTGTATTTGGTATTTTGGATCATTTCTATTTTTTTTTACTCACAAGGAAAGACTTGCTTTTTTAAAAATATAGATCTACATTTACCTATAAGCAGGGTTCACGCAGCATACAAAAACTCAGAACAGGTTAACAAAGCATGAAAATTCAGTTCACAAAAAATGTAATGCCATTCAATTGACCCTGGGTTAGGACACTCCATTTCTCTTCCAACCTTCACACAGGCAGGCAGGTTAACACAATCTGTCCTAAGCACAAAAAAGTCAATCAGATCTAGGGGCTCAGTTCACATGAAACACAAAGGCTTAAATGCACAAAGCTTAACATAATGATCTATTTACCCTCCTAAGACAAACTGGAGGAGCCAAACCTACTTTATTGTCATCCAGCACAGAGTGAGAACTAAGCATAATCTTTTGCATCTCCTGTTTTCAAACCTTTTTTTATTTCCTCCTTGAGATTTGCCATACAAGCTCTCCCTCTACCCAGGAGCTTTCCCAGGAAATGGGGCGTGAAGGACTATCCAGGTCCCCTCCTTTCCTTTCTGGCATCTGGATTTCTTCCTGAGGGCAACAATCATGGAAAAGGGCAGCCAGGAGATATGGGATCTGGGGGTCTCCCACTCCTAAGATTGAACCTGGATGAGGACTTGGCATATGCCACGTCCTTCTCTAGTGCAAGAACTCTCTGCCTCTCCTTGTATGGGAAGAAACCCCTCCCCCACACACACACAAACAAACCTTTTGTCGCCTGTAACTCTCTTTCCTTCAAGACTTTCTTGCAGCCTTTTTAACCGCTTGCGAAGTTCAAAGGGTTAAAGAGGGAGAGTCCAGCATCCTTGAAAGGCAAGACTTAGTTATGTCACTTCCTTCCCAACCGGCCACAGCGGCCCAACGCTGAAGTGCATGGTGTTCCTTTCTCTTTGCAGAGGGATTTTCTGTGAATGGAAAGTGCTCATGGAACAAGGAGAGACGGAGCATTTCCCATGTGGGGCCAGGAGGGGGCGCTCACGTTTCCCTTGATCAGGAAGCCTTCTCAACGTGCTTTAGGGCGGCAACGTTATACTTCAGTAGAGTGTTGTATTTCAAGCTTATGGCCACTCACTCACACTCTCACAGCCCTGGAAAATAGCCACACTTTCACCCACACACTGAGGCACAAATGGTTCTTTAAAATACAGGGAGTCTCTGAATTTAAAATAACAGACGTTTACTGGTTAGAACGTATATATTTGTTCTTTTTCACATGTACACACACTTCCACACTCATCATCCACACTTACCAAGTCCTTCTCAATTAGGCTGGCTGGCACTAGCCAGAGGGACAGAAGCTGCCAGCTGCCAACTCTAGATGAAGAACAATTCAAAACGTGTGTGTACTTCAGGATCTCCTCCCCCTCCAAAGTCCTTGCTTTGCAGATTCACCAGATGACAGTTATTCTTGTTGATTATCTTTTTTAAAAAAACAAATGTTACTGGTTTTCCAGTTTTACATTTAAGTATTTGGAAAGCAGCGTCGTGACTGGGTAATCAGTGGTTCAATAACAAAATCTTTAGTACATATCTCAGGTTACATCATCAAAAATTCCTTCTCTATTTCCCTTAACATTTGCTATATCATATTTAGGCTAGTAAATTTCTAATTATGACAAACTTAGTTAAAACATTTATCAATATATTTTTGCTTATACATATTCATGTCCTGTTTTTAAGTTTTACCTAATTTTTAATTACAATATTTCAATTTAACCTTTAATATCCATAGTATTTAAGTTTTGGGTAATCCAAATTTCCTTTATTTTACTACATAAAAGTTATCATATCTAGAATATACATATTACTTACTTAAATCTATTCTTATCTTATTTCATAAACATTTTCAATTTCTCATCCTAATACATCATCACTTACTAATAGAGTGTCCTTTATTGTCTCAAGTCCATCATCTATGTTATCTAGGCTAAACAATAATTTGAAGCTAATTCCTGATAGTTGGTTTTCATTTCTCTTATAAATCTAAATCCTAAATATTAAGCCAATTAATTCCTTATTTTTTTATCATTTAACAACAATATTTAAATCCAATAATCATATTTCCCTTCTAAAAATCTCCCTTTAGCCCATTAGTTGAGACTTTCGGATCCTCTATCATAAATCAAAAGATCCCCCTTTTTTAAAATCTAACTCTGGCTTTCTTTTTGTGCCAACTAGGCTTCCATACCAATGCCTTTAAATCATCAGATAAATCTCCATTCTTGTACATGCTACTTGAACCAAGGTAGACCATCTAGTTATAAATTTTCTAGAAAGACTGGCCCATTTATAGTCGTTAAGTTGTTGCTGTGGTGGCTCCTTCAATTCGATTTGGTCTTCTTGTTCCTCAGGTATCTTCTGGTTTACGAAGAAAGTCACATCCAGTTCTATGGTTGTTATTTGATTGTCTAAATTTTCAGTATGCTGTACTTGTTGATCTTTAACACCCTCCATCTTGGTGTTGCTTTGTTCCACTTCTGTTGTCTTTTGGGTTGTAGGTTCTTTAATTGCGATCAGGGTTTGTCTGTCAAAAATTTCAGTAGATTGTATTTGTTGATCTTTAAAGTCCTCTGTCTTGGTATTAATTTCTTCCTCTTCTGTTGGTTTTTGGATTGTAGGTTCTTTCATTGAAATCAGAGTTTCATTTTTTAGGTTTAAGCTGGCGCCTTTATCTTTCAATCTGGATTTAATTATCTCAGTAGCTTCAAGAATTTTTTTAAGTATAAGTTTATAATTAATTTGTTGCTGGTCTTCCTCCATTTCTAACATAGTTATAGTCTTTTAGTGAAGGCTATTTCTTAGATGAAAGTCAGTAAATGTTCACCTCCACAGTTCCTAAAAACCAATTTCACTGTCCAGCTGTTCTCCCAGCTTTTTATCTCTTTTAGATAGCACCAAGGACAAATATGGGCTGTAAGCAGGTCTCTTTAACAAGAGCATTTACTTGCTATACCAAGCTTCACCACAAGATGTCCCCGACAGCATTTAAAATCTTTTTCAAAACCAGGGCTATGTTTTTATCCAGTTTAAGTTCTTTTTCATCTTTTTTACAAATAGATAAGGTGACAGGTCCCTGTGAAAGTAGGAATTCTTGAGTCCTCAGATATCAAAGTAATATAAATCCAGTTACTTAATTGTATTTTTCAGGGCTTTATTTTCCCTACATAGTCAGATGCCACCATTTTAGAGGGTGGAAAGAAGATGTTCCCTTCCCTCTCTCCTCGCAGGGGGAAGAAGTTTCAGAAGGCTTTTAACAGGAAAATACTTGGGATACAAGAAGGTAAAATCTCACCCAGTTCCTCCGTGGTGCTTTTGAAGTGCTTGGTTGTAATTTTGGCCTCGGCAGATAGCGGCTTAATGATGGGCCATATGAATGGCCGATTTTTTCCCTGTTGGTCCGAAGAGCTGTCCCGGATCAAACAGAAGGGCTCTCGCCTTTCCGTGATCAATCGGGAGGTCCTCTTCATGCTCGTCGCCCCTCCAAGGTGACGTTTAACCTCTTTCAGGGTCCCCCGGCAGGAGAAAACCGGATGGTGGAGGGAGTGATCAGACCGCACATCCACCAGCACCGTGATCAGGAACCAGAAGCCATTCTTGTTGATTTTTAAGCCTGGCAGCTGTTGATGGGATTTGGAGAGAGCTTTCACATCAGCTCTTATCCAATTTCTTTTGTCTGGTTTGGATGACATTTTTACTTTCTTTCCTTAGTGACTTAGGTCCTTCTTATCTATTGCTAAGACGGAACCTGGATGAGAACTTGGGATGCATTGCTGACCTAGAGATTAGATGGGAAGCAACAGAAGGGTGAATCTTTGTAAGATTGAGTAGTTTTGAGTTTATAGGGCTCATGATTCCAGGAAAATTTCATCTTTGGGTTTGATATACCAATGCATGAGTCAGAATTTAGAGTTTTACCTTCTAGAGTCACTGGGTGGTCCTGTTCATCAATTTTTAGCTAATTGCAATATGGTTTTTAATACAAATTAGGTTGTACAAAGATGAGGAAATCCATCAGAAGTGACTCCTCTGCCTTCGAAGATATAGGCAAAGAAACCTGGATGAGACATAAAACTACACAGCAGGACAAAAAATGTTTTTTTTTAGGCAAGATGAATAAGCTGCAGAACAGAGTTTAAAGATTGATTGGAATCCGAGTAATTTTCTCAATATAATTGCAACCTTCAACCAGTGCTTTTTTTGTAAAAAAAAAAAAAAAAAAAAGGTGGCGGAACTCACATATGTCATACAACCTGCCTTGCCTACCCTACAAAGTTCCATCCCAAAAAGGTGCCGAACGCCGTTCTGGGCATTCTATGACAAAAAAAGCCCTGCCTTCAACTATTAAATTTCTTTCGTTCTTGTTTAATTAAATAACAGTCCTCCCATGGATATCTTGCAATCTCATTTCTCTTATTCACTTTCTCTCTTGCATTCCCTTTTACCTCCATCATTCATCCATACTAGACATAATTCTTTTTTTCCCATTTGATCGTTTATTCTCTTCACTTTCTGCAGACTGACCATTGCTTAAAATTCAAGATCCGTCTTGGATTTTCTAGATTTAAGCATGTTAGTACCTTTGTCCCCAGTGGGCACAACCATCACAGGAGGCAACCTCAGACTGCATATCAGCAACAGTTGCATAGGTTGATGTACTCCAAGTTTCAAAAGGAGGGCCCCTATATTACTTTCTCAGCCCCAGCACAAACTACTTTTCTGTTCTGGCTGCCTTTTGGCCCTTTGGATTATTTATAATTATTATTGGTTGATTGTTAATAATGAGCCTCTATTGTAAGGTCAGTGGCCCTTACTTAAATTTGAGATACCACTAAAAGTTTAATTAGGCAACTCAAATGGAGGGTTCTTGAGGAGCTAGGCTACTAGTAATAGTAGTAAAGTTGGAAGAGACCTTGGAGGTCATCTTGTCCAACCCCCTGCTCAGGCAGGAAACCCTACACCATTTCGGACAAATAGCTGTCCAGTCTCTTCTTAAAAACTTCCAGTGTTGGAGCATTTACTGCTTCTGGAGGCAGGCTTTTCCACTGATTAATTGTTCTCACTGTCAGGAAGTTTCTCCTTAGTTCTAGGTTGCTTCTCTCCTTGATTAGTTTCCACCCGTTGCTTCTTGTCCTGCCTTCAGGTGCTTTGGAAAATAGCTTAAGTCCCTCTTCTTTATGGCAGCCCCTGAGATATTGGAACACTGCTATCATGTCCCCCCCTTGTCCTTCTCTTCGTTAAACTAGACATACCCAATTCTAGCAACCGTTCCTTATATGTTTTAGCCTCCAGTCCCCTAATCATCTTTGTTGCTCTTCTCTGTACTCTTTCTAGAGTCTCAACATCTTTTTTACATCGTGGTGACCGAAACTGGATGCAGTATTCCAAGTGTGGCCTTACCAAGGCATTGAAGAGTAGTATTAATACTTCACGTGATCTTGATTCTATCCCTCTGTTAATGCAGCCTAGCACTGTGTTGGCCTTTTTGGCAGCTGCAGCACACTGCTGGCTCATATTTAGGTGATTGTCTACTAGGACTCCGAGGTCTCTCTCACAGTTACTACTATTGAGCATGGTGCCACCTATGCTGTACTTGTGCATTTGGTTTTTCTTGCCTAAATGTAGAACCTTGCTTTTTTCACCATTGAATTTCATTTTGTTAGTTAGTGCCCATTGT